AACAAAAAAAAGGTAAGACACCTAAACAAAGAAATGAATTAAACATTAAACTTGAAGCTGGGGTTTAATCAGTTATGTGTGGAAAGGAAGGGAGAGTGCATTCATACTTCTATAGTAATTTTTTGTTAAAAATGTTGGTGATACTCTCCCTACTTTCTCCAAATTGACCTTCCCTAAACCAGTGGCCTATTTTCAGAGAACAGATTAATAAATCTAGGCAGTTTAGAAAACCAGTCACTAAATCACTTAATCACTTAACTTCGCGTTAATCGTCGATTTGCTCGAGTGGGCGCCAGTAACATCTCCATTTGTCCCTGTTGCGTGCTAGTGTAGTCCAATGGCATCTGTTCGCTCTAGGAACATGAAGAGTCTCAAACTGATCGTTCATGATCTTGATGAAGAAGTCTGACCATCTGGTAGGTGGGCGGCCATGCGGTCTTTTCCGAGCACATGGAAAGTGGCCTGAAGCATGGCTGTGCTGATGTGTTCTGAAGGTTTTTGGCTGCCAGGGTTCTACTTGGGGCAGGGAAGGAAACTCAACCTGCCCCCCTCCAAGGTGCCCCAGTGAAGACAGACTGGTGCAGGGTCTGGAGATTGTGCTGCTGATCTCACCTTGATGGCCTGAGCCATTCTCATCTTGATGGCCTGAGCCATTCCTACTCTGGGTTCTGATTTCTTTTCTAAAGCACATTCATTTTTTCTGTGTGTGTGTGTGTGTGTGTGTGTGTGTGTGTGTGTGTGTGTGTAGGAGGGCTCCATGACCTTCTTAGGAGGTCTGAATGAGGTATGTCTCTCCTAAAAGTGCCCTTCCAGAGCCTCTGCTCTTGGATACCCCAAGAATTTGGCCAAGGCCTCCTAGATCTCCCACAGGGGATTTTATTCTGACAGGACATGCTCAAGGAGCTGACACCAGCAATTGTGGAGCAGGGGGCCAGAGGATGGTCTGATAGAGCTGATGCAGAGGCAGGGAGCAAGGCCATAGAGAAAGGAGGGGAGAGGCAGGGAATGAAGAGCTGGATGGAAGGCAGCAGAGAGGAGGAAGAAGGCCTGGCCAGGAGGACATAGGTCTAGTCCACACTCTATGTTTCTGAATCAGAACTGGTAGTGGAACCAGAGTGGCACCTGAGGCTTTTATGTCTCTGAATATTCACATGGGTGTGAGAGGTTAAATGCAGGATATCATACTGTCAGAGATGAGAGCGTGCCTGTTGATATGGTGGGGGGTGGAGGGGCGGTGCACGTGGTTCAATTATTTTTATTTCACTCAATCACTTAACTACCCGTTAGTCGTCGATTCGCTTGAGCGGGCACCAGTAACGTCTCCATTTGTCCCTGTCGTGTGCTAGTGTAGCCCAATGGCATCTGTTCGCTCTGGGAACATGAAGAGCCTCAAACCGATCATTCATGACCTTGATGAAGAAGTCTGACCATTTGGTAGGTGGGCGGCCACGCGGTCTTTTGACACCCCGTGGAATCCAGTCGGTAACAACTTTAGTCCAGCGGTCGTCTTTAAATCTCATTACGTGACCAGCCCATCTGATTTTTGACACTTTGGCAAACGAGACAGCGTCCCTGATTCTTGATTGTCGATGGATGTCAGAACTCCGGATTCGTTCTCTCATTTGAGTGAAACATGATATTCCAAGCATAGCTCTTTCTATTCTTCTTTGGGAACCTGAATAGCGTTCTCATCTTGTTTGCGTAGGGCCCAGGTCTCTGAGGCATATGTTAATGCAGGAAGAACAGTGGAATCAAAGAGATGTGCCCGGAGCCGGAGGTTCTTCGTCCTCTTAGCTATTTCTTCGACACTCTTGAAGGCGTTTCAAGCCGCTCTCTTCCTCCTGTGCAGCTCGGGTGCCAGGTCATTTGTCATGTTGGCTTCTAGACCTAGGTACACATAGCTGTTGCATTCGGAGATGGTCATTCCATTGAGAGAGAATGGGGCGTCAGGAATGAGACTGTTTCTCATAAACATTGTCTTCGTAAGATTCAGCTGTAGATCGACCTTTCCACACTCATGGTCAAAGTCGGCCAGCATTTGTGCCGCTTGGCTGATGTTTGGTGTTATTAAAACCATGTCATCAGCAAAGCTGAGGTGGTGTAATTGCCGACCATCTATCTTCACTCCCATTCCTTCCCATTCCAGTTGTCGCATGATGTTTTTGAGGGTGGCACTGAAGAGTTTCGGTGAAATGGTATCACCCTGCCAAACCCCTCTCTTGACATCGTTGATTACTTCTTTGTAGAATGGTGAGATCCTGGTAGTGAATCCGCAATACAGCTCACGGAAGATCTTGATATATTGAGCTTGAATGCCCAGATTGGCTAGGGCTTCAATGACCGCTTCCATCTCAACAGAATCAAAGGCCTTCTTTAAATCAATGAATGTTAGACAGAGCAGCATCTTGAACTCCTGAGAAACCTCAATGAGTTCTGGGAGTTCTCTTTTTAAACTTTGCAGCCCTTTCTCCCGCTCCGTGAAGTAGAATTTTGCACGAAGGAGACGGTGGTCCGATCCCATTCGGAATTTTGGGACAACAGCGACATCGGTCAGGCAAAACTTTGATTGAATGTGATGTGGTCTATTTCGTTGTGGAATCGTCCACAGACTCAGAGACTATAAAAACCAGATCCCGCAGGGAGAACAGTGCAGTCTCCTGCCCCCGCGCCTGGCTGTTCCTCGCCGTGGCCCCTTGGAGGGAGCGGGTTGAGCTTTCCTCCCCGCCCCGACCAGGTCTCTGGCAGCCGACGATCTTCAGAACCAGACACCGCCATGCTGAGACCACTCTCCACAGACCTGAAGGTACCGGCAGAGGGACAAAGCCACGTGGGTTCCAGGGCCGAGATCTCCAAGCCTACTCGGATTGGAGTCGAGCATCCTCCACCCAGTTCCTCCAAATTCCAGTAGGCGGGGGTCACACCCACCAACTGGCCCCCTGGCGCCGTGTAATCCCATCAGCGGCCAAGACTCAGAGACTATAAAAACCAGATCCCGGAACCGCGTGGCCGCATTTGTGGTCGCGCGACATTTTATTATGACATCTCATTCCTACTTTGACAAACTGGCAGGCTCCCGAATGTAACCTGCCCACACGGCAGAGTCTGGCAAACTCCCTGTGTCGTACCCAATATGCCAAATACCAGTAACAATGATGGGTCTCATTCTCCTAAAGAGCCTTGAATATAATCTCAGGGCTAGGATGAAGGAGGTATTACTGGGGCCTGCTCGAGGCAATTGACGAATAACAGGATGATCTGTGATCTGTGATGATGTGGTCTATTTCGTTGTGGAATCGTCCACCGGGAGACTCCCATGTCCAATGTTTAGATTCAACCTTCTGGAACTGTGAGTTACCATGGATGGTCTTGGTCGACATGATGAACTCAGACAGTCTCTCACCCTGTTCGTTCCATTCTAGGCCATGGGTCCCGATGTTAAGTTCTTCAACTGATCTTCTCGGTCCTATCTTGGCATTAAAATCACCCACAATGATCTTGTAGAAGGTGTGGTCTTCTTTATAGAACTTCTCCAGCTCCATGTAGAACTTCTCGATTTCTCTTTCATCATAATGAGATGTTGGTGCGTAGACAAAGAAGATAGAAACTGCTGGCAGTGAGCCACATCTATTCAAATGTAAACGTCCGATTCGGGTTGTTAGGCATTCAAATGAATCAATGCTCATGGCCAAGTTTGTGTTGACAAGGACACCGACGCCTCCGACACCTCTTTTATCGCATGTTCCGAGGAGCAATTCTTCTCCAGTGTCGAAAACGGTATGATGAGATTCGTGCTTTCTTGTCTCAGTCAGACCAATAATGTTGTACTTGATCTTTTGCACTTGTACCATCAGGTCCTCGATGGATGCATCTGATGCTAGCATACGTGCATTGAAAGTACGGACGATCATTTTTGTCTTCCTTCGCTGTGGCAGCCTAGTTCGGCCTTGAGATTTTATCGGCCTCTCCTTTCTCATCCTTCTCAGTGCTGTCATATCGGTGAAGCCTTCAGGGTCAGGTGAATGAGACCAGTTGTAGTTACTGGTTTTGGCATATCGAATACACAATGGATAGCTTGCCAGGCTTTTCCGTGCGGGCAGAATACTCTCGGTAGCTTGCCAGTCTTTCCGAGAGGGATAGAGGATTTTGGGGCGACCTCTAATCGCCCTCGTAGGTGTTACCATATTTGAACCCTATCAAATATGGTACGGCAATTGGTACGGAAGATGGGTATTTAGTGTCTTATGATGTGTCACGTGGCCGCAAAGCGGCCACAAGGGCCCAGAAAGCATCCTGGAGTGTGGCGGCAGCTGGGTAGTGGAGGTAGTGTCCAGTTATAGACTTTTTTAGGAATGAGGAGAAAATTATAGGGAAGTCTTCTATTTTCATTTCCTTCCCTTATGAAGTTGTGAAAACTGGACTATGTATCTCTTCCAATGCTTAAGTAGACTTTAAGAATGGCACATTTAGTCAGGATATAATGGCTAGCATTTATGCTTGAGGACCGATAGAATTCCAGAAGCTTAGGGAGAGGCAATAAAGTATACTACTATCCCTAGTGATTTCAACTTGGAACTATTTATTCACCCTAAATTCTCTCCCTTCTTGCTTTTATTTACTATGATCTAGGAGTCTGATATTCCAGGACTCTGATTATTTATTTAAGTTGAAGGACTCTGCCACTTCCCATTGCTTCTCTATGGACCTAGCTGGGGATGGGGTGTGTGTGTGTGTGGGAGGTGTTACAAAAAAGAGAAACTTCAGAAGAAACAAGAGAACAATATCTCATGGATTTGAGAGGAAAGTAACTCCATTTCTCTTGGATGTTCCTGGTTCTAAGCTCTCTTAAAATCTTCACAGAATTGGGTTTCTTCTCTTGTAAGACTTCCTTTCTGCATCCACATTAACCAGCATTCCTAGGCAATACCAGCTTTCCCAGGTAATTTGCAGCTCTGCCTATCTTTTACCAGTTATGGCAAATATCAGAATACTCCAGCACTCACTCTGCGTATACATGTAGGATTTCTGGCTTTTTTTCCTGACAGAAATAGTTTGTGTCTGGATCTCACACCAGTAAGCTGCAGGTTTTTTTCTCCACACAGAAATGATATGAAATTCTGGGGATTTTCTCCAGCCTGACCATAGGATTTGAGCATCACTCTGAAAGTTGAACTGGAGCTGGACATCTGACCTTTGTGGAGGGAGATAAGTCTTACAGGTCAGGATCACGGGGCTCCCTTCAATGGGCTTGAGGGCGCTGAATGTCAGCACAGGATCTGGAAAGAGTTCTGGAGAGAAAAATAACAACCTGATAAACTTTCAGCATCTGTATTGCAAACCATAATGCCAAAACGGAGAGAGAGAGAGAGAGAGAGAGAGAGAGAGAGAGAGAGAGAGAGAGAGAGAGAGAGAGAGAGGTGCTTGCCATAGAGGCAGGGAGGGGTGGGATGGGGGCTTAGAGGGGTGGGAGGGAAACTGGGGCACTGGTGCTGGTGATGGTAAATTACACTGGTGGAGGAATGGGTGTTAAAACATTGTATGGCTGAAACCCAAACACTAACAGCTCTGTAAAAAGAAATTAATTAATAAAAATAGAGAAAAAAAGAAAAAATCACAACAGTTCTCAAGTGGTGAGGCTCTGAACTGCTCAGGAGCTCATCTTTAGCACAAACAAGCAAAGCTTTCAAAAGCAGACAATGAAAGAGATGGCAACATCCTCAGAATTCTTAATATTTTTTCGCCTGAAGCATTGCTCCATGTCCTCTATTCCTGAAGGAATACATATTGCAGTTCAACAACATTCCATCTGACCCTGTTCTACAACTTTAGGGATATTCTTTGTGACAAACCTACTTCACAAATGCTGAAAACTTTACCTTGGACTTGGAGTTCAACTGCCTTTGAACTGACAAGGTGATGACCATTCTTAATTCCAATACAGCGATAAGAACCATTGTCCTTCAGACTTGCCTGCTTAATGTGGTATTCAAAGCCTTTTTTAAGATTGGCAAGAAATTTCTCATTCCTGTGTAATTTCACAGATCTCACCGCTGCTTCTGTCTTTTCTCGGCATCTCAGAACCACTGAGTCTGCTTCAAACACAGAGTACGGAGTCTGCAGGATCAGGTCATCTGTAGGAAACACAAGACCGCTAGTTTCATCCCATCAACTCCCTTCCTTCTCATTACTATTCCAAGTAGATTTAATTGGAATGAATATCAAGAAATGGAATTCTTAAAGCAATTATAATTTTTCTTAAGTAAAATTAATACAAGTGACTTGAGGAAATTCAGCCATCAGAATATTAATAAAAGTCTCCTGTCATTGAAATTTTGACATACATATTTCCAGTTCTCTGCACAGCGGGTAGAGCGTTTGCCTTGCACATGGCTGACCTGGGTTCGATTCCTCCATCCCTCTCTGAGAGACCTGCAAGCTACGGAGAGTATCCCGTCCGCATGACAGAGCCTGGCAAGCTTTCCATGGCGTATTCAATATGCCAAAAACAGAACAAGTCTCATAATGGAGATGTTACTGGTGGCTGCTCGAGCAAATCGATGAACAACGGGGTGACAGTGCTACAGTGCTTTTCCATGCACATGCATGTGAAAATCTTAAAATTTCTTTTTATGAACTATAAATATTTGTATAATTATATAATAACTTTCTTTTCACTTACACTGCTATGAAAACCTTTTCTGTCATTATTATCATTGTTGAACCTGAGTTTTTTCAATGACCGCAAAGTATTTCTTCAATTGTAGTTATGTATTTAATTTGTTTTTACTTTGTTTCTATAACTTGTCTTGTTTTATTTGGTGGGTGTACCTGCCATCCTCCCCGCCCCCCGCCCCCCCAGTACACTCACTGTGCTCAGGAATTATTACTGGCTCTGTGCTCAAGGATCCTCCTGGCAGTGCTAGGGGTATTTGAGCTAGAGTTGATCACAAACAAGGCAAGTGTCTAAACTCCTATTATTTCTCTACCTTCCTGTGTTTTCTTTTTTAAATTAATTAGCAATTAGTTACAATGCTGAAGTCCTGCTACACCATAACCACGGCCTGAGTATCGGAATCCTCCTGCCATTAGCATCCTCAGATCACATTTATATTGATAATAGCAAGATTGTTATCTTTTTCTAGCACCTTAAGCTGTGATTAAAAGTTATTTATTTTAGTACCTTTCTTTGTTCCTAATGAATTATTGTATTGCTATGAACTTCCTCCTAATACTGATTTTGCTCTGTCCCATAAGTGTCAGTAAATCATGTCTCCTTTGATTCCATGAATCGTTGAATTTCTTCTCTGATTTCCTCTTCAACTTATCAGTGATTTAGTATTAAGCTGTTTAACTTCCAAGTATTTGAGTTTTTTCCTCATTTTTGTTTGTGACTAATTTCCATTCTTAAGGCATCATGATCCAAGAATATGATTGACATGATTTCTATCTTCTTGATTTTATGGAGATATGTTTTGTGACTCAACATGTGATCAATCGTGGAGAAGGTACTATATGTGCTGGACAAGAATGTTAGTTCATTTTTTAGGGGGAGGAAGGGCCCTCTATATCTTTTTCAATTTGTTTTCAATACTAGTATTTTTCATATGCCAGACACAGTAACAACAAAGTCTCCAATGGAGACGTTACTGGGCCCGCTCGAGCAAATCGACGATCAACGGGAGGGCCTTTACCTTTTACCTTTACTAGTGTTTTTCTATTGAGTTTTTGTCAGTTGAGATCTACTCAGTAGTGATAGAAGAGCGTTAAGTCCTCTAAACACTAACTTCTTGTCAATCTCTTCCTTCAGATCTAGAGCAGTTCTTTTAAATATTTTGATGGCCCATCATTAGGTGCATAGATATATATGAATGAGTTCTTTATGATCTGTATTCTTCATCATTAAGAAATACCTGTCCCCATCCTCTGTAGCCTTTTAAAATTTGAAGTGTAGGCTGTCTTATGTGGATATCCCAACCTTTTAAAGAGAATGATTTGCCTGGAACATTGTTTCACAATCTTTGATTTTGAGCCTTCATTTACTTTGACTGTTCATGTATCATTGTATATAGCATAAAGTTGTGTTTAGTTCTTCAGTCCATCCTGTCACTCTGAATCTCTTGATTGGTGAGTTCAGATCATTGACATTGAGTGAGATTATTGAGATGAAGGAATTTATTGCTATCCTTTTGTAGAACTTATGAGAGTCTATGACGTTTGTTGCTTATTTATTGGTGCTCACCCATTAGTTCTCAGGATTTATGCCTGGCTATGCTCAGGTATCACTCCTGACAGTGCTTAGGGAAGTTTACAGGGTCCTGGGTATTGAGCTCAGGTCAGCTGTGTGCAAGGCAAGCATCTTACTCTCTATACTATCTCTCCAGCTCCATTTCTTATATTTTAGAAAAGCCCTGTTAGTTCTTCTTGCAAATGTAATTTCAAGGCAATGAAGTTTTCAGGTTGTTTCTTATCCACAAAGCTTTATATCATTCCTTGAAATCAAAATGACTATATAATATACCTGAGTAGAATATTCTTTGTAAGGTTATTTGTTTCATTGAGTTTTTAAACTATATCTCCTGACCTATAGAGTCTCACTTGATTAATTTTTGGTTGGGCCCCTTCAGGTCTCTTGAATCTGAGTATGCTAACTCACTAGTTTTGGAAAATCTCCTTCATAAATTCTTTGACTAGTGATTCTTCATTTAGTTCCACATCCTATTCCTTAGGTCTCTGTTTTCATATTGCTTTTTTTGAAGTCATTCCATAGTTCCCTATTGTGCTACTCATTTACCTTAAGACTTATTTTCCATATTTTATTATTTTCTAGAGGTTTTTCACATGTTATCTCTTAGAGTTCACTGATTTTGAAAAGCTACTATGTTTCTGCTGCTTTTGGCCTAAGGTTTATATATATATATAAACTTTGAACTCAATAAACATTTTTGTCATTGTGTATCTAAAGTTATTATCTGAGACATTAGAGAGCTACTTGGAATTAACAGAGCCCACTGGATTATTATCTCCGCTCACTGAGCTTGCTTCCCTGTTATATTCTGCCATCTAAGAATAAATGTTTGCACTTAACCCTCCAAGCCTCCCCTACCCTGAAGAACCTCTATGAGGGTTATAAAAGTGATTGTAGCTTTTATCCTTTTCCTTCCATGTCATACCTATCCCAGTGAACATTTCCTATTTCTGGTTTGTTGTTCTGAGTTCTGACTGAGGATTACAGGGAAACTTTGATATCCTTGACCCTCCTCTCTTCTGGTGCTAAGTGAGGGTTCTATGATATTTTTACTACTATCATAGTCTTATGGGTTTTGTTCTCTAGGATCAGTAGATTGGGCTAGGAATGAGTTACTATTAGCATGAAGTCTTGGATTGCCAATGATATATGAGTCCATTGGTTCATTGCATAGTGTCCTAAGCATATGTCCTATGAAGTTCGAGACAGCAAGCTATTGTGTGCTCACTAGCATAGTTGTTGGTATTCTGAAAACCCTGAGAAACAATTCAACCTGCACCTAAGGGGCAGTGTCTAGCTGGCAGACTTCCTCAGAAGACAGGCTTTAGGCACTCAGAGGGGGGGGATGGGGAAGGAGGAAACTCAGTAAAAAGAATCTGCTCTGTAACAAAGGGGAACACACAATTTCTTTATCCCACTTATTTGCTGCATGAAAACTTGGGTTTTTCTAATGTGTTTCTTTAATTGACCATTTAAGATCCCAGCATCATTTTGAGTATTGCTCTTGCGTCAAGGTCACTTCTAGTGATACCCAGTCAAGTGTGCCACACAGTTCAATATTCAGGCTTTGCTGTGTTTCGTAGGGTGGCAGTGCTGGGGCCATCAAAGGCACACCTGGCAGTCATGTGCTGCTGGGACTTGAACTTGGATTCCTACTCATGAGTCCCAGTCCCCTGAGTTATCTCCCCAGACCCATCAGTAGGTAAATTCTTGAAAGAAAAATAGCCAGTTCGACAAGGATAAACATTTTCTATGCTCCTTGCTACTGTCCTGCTTCCTTACTCATGGGATGAATAACATCATAACTAGAAAAACAACACTTTAAATCGAAACAGATGAATTTAGGAAGCAAAGTGATATCTTTCACTCAGTGTCAAAAATTTTATGTTAGTTATTATCCCAAGTAAATTGTATAGGTTTAAAGCCACACATATATTTAGACATTAGCAAAATTAATTATTCTCAATTTTTCCACTTGCATAAGAAGTTCATAAAACTATATATGCCAGGGCCCTATTTTAGATTTTGATTCAGTTAAATATAGGGTAAATTCTGATATCTAAAACTTTTATTACGTGCACTTCTTTCTCACCTGAGGAAAACAACAAGGTCACAGGCTTACTTAATTTTGAGCCTGGGACCTGGCATCTGTACTCTCCAGAAACACGGACCGTGACAGTGTTTCTTTTGCTTTCAAGTTCTGTTTTTTTCTCAGAATCCCAAAGGTACCAAGTTGTTTCCCCTGGTGCATAGAAGTGATATCCATGGCAAGTCAGATTCACACTCTCTCCTTGGAAGACTGTTGTCCATGGAGGATGGAGGGAAATCACTGGTTGGGGTGTCTCTGTGGAGAAAAGAGAAATGATCTTGAGGTAAGGTAACAGAATCCTCACCATCATGGTTTGTATAGGACAGATGGAAGGGTTTGTGTGTTAAAAACCTCTCAGAACCCCTGGGAAGGCCACTACTCCCTTCAGCCTGGGTGAACCAGAGTGATTGCCTCCTAGCACAGATGGACAGCTCAGGGAAATGCAGGGAGTCATGGTTTCAAAAGGCCATGCTTACAAGGTCCGCTGCTGAATGGGAATGAGAAAAGATAGCTAGTTATCCCACCATGAAACTAGATTCTAGAGAAAGTTACCTCCACCCTGACACTTTGCAATAATTACACATTCAAGAATTTGCCAAGGGGTCATCAAAATGACAAGTTTATACCTTCCTCAAAAGTTTATAATATGTTAAGATTTTGGCATTAAGAAAAGCTTGCGAAATTAACTTTTCTTGACATCTTTGTTTCATAGATGATGGCCCAAAGACCCAGTAAAACTATTATCATGGCTGACTTCAGCAGAGCAAGGTATTAGCTCAAGTCTTCAAGTCATTTATTGAGATCCAGAGGTGACTTAGACAAGACTGAAGGCCTAAGGCCACTAATTTTGGACAAGGAGAGAGGTGGAAACGAGTTCATGGTATACATTTCCCATTCAGATGATATGTTAATAGGTGAGGGCCAGAGAAACAGTACTGTGGGCAAGGTGCTTGCCTTTCATGGTGCTGACCCAGACTCAATTCCTGGCACCACATAAAATACCTCTCTATAGTACACTAAGCTCCATTAGGAGTTATTTCTGAACATAGGGCCAAAAGTAAACCCTGAGCATTGCCAATGTGGCCTCCCTCACCAAAGGGAAAAAAAAAGATAATACATGATATAGATAATGATGAAAATTCTACTCCAATTTACCTTTTTTTTGCATTTATTCTGGTTAAGGATCCACTCTAAGACATTCTTTTTTCCCCCATATAGTTTCTGGAGTATTTTATTCTCAAAAGTGAGATGGTTCTGCTGGTATCACTAAACTGTGACATTTTCAGAGGAGTTTTTCTTAACGCTTGAAATATGTCTTAATCTGAAGTTCTACACATTTGCCAAGGAATTGAGGATGTTCTGTCTCACTGGAGACAGTTTTCAACAGGAGTGGGTGCAGGGTTTATCAAAAACCAGAATCTTTGTGGACACTTGCCACTTCATTCAGAGAGGGTTACAGGATGACCTCGAAGTCATTCTGGCTTGGCAATACCAACAGAGGAGGTGACACTTTCACATCTTTGCCAATATCTAGAGATGTTATTAGGGCTTTTCATATAGCCATTAGAAAAGTTGATGCAATCTTATCCAGAGACACTGAAGAACTAAATTAAGGAGAACTCACCAAATTCACTAACAGGAGCTGCAAAATAAATAAATAAATAAATAAATAAATAAAGTCCAAAACTGTAAAGACAGAATATCATTTGACTTAAAAACATAATGCAGGAGGAAATAAAACATACTAACTTTTTCATTCATTTGTTTCTTTTATTAAACATTCATTTAAAATTTTATACTTTTTCTCCTCTCTCTCTTCCCACTCTCTCCACATACTCAAATCTCAACCCATACATCTTTTCATCTTTTTTCTTTTTGGTTTTTAAGCCTCCTCCCAGCAATGCTCAGGCCTCCTAAGTCTGTTCTCAGGGGTCAATTCTGGTGGTGCTCTGGGGTGTCAGGGATCCAACCAGGGTTGACCATGTGCAAACCAACCATCTTAACCCCTGTATTGTCTCCTCTTCCCCGTACATCCTTCCCTATCAACTGAACTAACTCACTCAGCCATTCCTACTGAGTTTCTCAGCATGGTGAATACATAACATCTTACTCATTTTAATTCCTTAATTTTTCTGCAGTTTATTTTGTTAAATAGGAATACTTTTGTCAATTTTCATGTATAATTTCATTTCTAGAAATTAAATATGAATAAATTAAATATACATAAATTTATATGCATGATTATGTAGCATATATTATACAAATTATATATCAAGCATAAATGTATACTGTAGCACTGTAGCACTGTCCTCCTGTTGTTCATCAATTTGCTTGAGCGGGCACCAGTAATGTTTCCATTGTGAGACTTGTTACTGTTTTTGGCATATTGAATATGCCACGGTGAGCTTGCCAGGCTCTGCTGTGTGGGTGGGGATACTCTTGGTAGCTTGCTGGGCTCTCTGAGAGGAACGGAGGAATTGAACCTGGGTTGGCCACGTGCAAGGCAAACGTCCTACCTGCTGTGCTATTGCTACAGCCCTAAATAATATAATATAATTTTTCTACCTTGCTATAAATCATTGACATAATTTAGATAATACAGAGAGAAATTTAATTTTCACAAAATACCTATTACCATAATTGACCATAACTTGCTTTCTTTGTGATAAAAATTTTCAGATCTATTTTCTTAAAAATGGTATTTTAAATTTACTTTCTTAGCATCTTTCAAATATGCAATACAGCATTGTTAATGCTAGCTAAGTAACTGCTGTCAATCTGAGGAAATAAGAGAGAAAGAATGTTCAATATGAGAAGACAAAAGTGTCTTATGTTCAATCTGAGAAGACATTTTGTGTCAGAATCCCAGAGGTACCAAGACACAAAAGTGTCTTCTCAGATTGAACATTTTTTAGCAGTGTTTCTCAACATTTTCTAGATGTGACCCCTTCCAAATTTCCTTCCTCTTGACACATATAATTCAAGTTGGCTTCTTAGTCTTCTGGTATGGGTTGATACTTAAGAAATTTTCCCTATTGCCCCTTGGAATATCTTGGGCACTCAAAGCCATGGTTCATGTGGTCCCAGTTGAGAAATGCTGGCCTACAAAATCAAGTTACTATTTCACCAGCTTGGTTCAAGTCTGGATATTTTCTTTTTATGGTGTAAACTGATCATTAAAATAAATAAAGAAAGCTCTTCAGGAAATAAAGACTCTGCTCTTTAGGAATCTAGAGTGTTTTTGGAAATGTCAGTGGTTTCAACTCCCCAAACAAAAAGCACATACAGTGATTACATGACCCAGGAAACAAAATTCATCCTCCTAATACTGACTTTAATGTTTTCTTCAATGGATTTGACTCCATTGATAATGAAAACAAAAGAAAAAATTTAATGAGATCATATATCAAACTGGGGGTATGGTGCCACCAGCAGGTCAACCTGTACCTGTGGGGCTAGTACATTAGCAGCCTGATGGTGCCTTCAGAATTCCAGATACCCTAAAATTGTTGCTGTGCCTTTGACCAGACCCCAACATCTTGGGGCCAAGTTTACCAAGAAATTAAATGGCCAAAAGTTAGGTATGTGGGAGACACACCCACAAACCACCTCCAGCTCAGCTCTATAAGTTCAAAGCCTCTGTCACTCTCAGAGAGCCTGGCAAGCTACCGAGGATATCCTGCCCATATGGCAGAGCCTGGCAAGCACCTGTGATGTATTCAGTGTGCCAAAAACAGTAACAACAACATACTCTTCATGTTCCTGGAGTGAGCAGATGCCACTGGGCTACACTAGCACGCGACAGGGACAAATGGAGACGTTACTGGCGCCCACTCGAGCAGTTGATGAGCAACGGGATGACAGTGATACAGTGCTGGAGCAATAGCACAGCGAGTAGGGCGTTCGCCTTACAAGCGGCCAACATGGTCGACCCGAGTTTGATTCCTCCGCCCCTCTTGGAGAGCCCGGCAAGCTACCGAGAGTATTTGATATGCCAAACACAGTAACAACAAAGTCTCCAATGGAGACGTTACTGGGCCCGCTTGAGCAAATTGACAGTGATATATCAAACTGAAAAGTTTCTTTACTCTCCATAAAAAATGGCTAATGTAAAAAGATAACCTATGAAATGAGAAGAAATATTTACACACAATATATCTGACAATTAGTATCTATGATTTGTAAAGCACTCTCAAGACACAACAATAAAAAAGAATCAAATGACTTCATCATAAATGGAGAGTACAGCTGAACAGACATTACCTCAAAGGAGAAATACTAAAGGTCAACAAACATAAAACAGCACATTAATAATCGTGAATGGTGAGACTGGATAGATAGTACAATGGAAAGTACACTTGCCTTGAACTTAGCCAACCAGGGTTCGATCCCCAGGATTCCATATGGTCCCTGAGGCACCACCAGAAATAACTTTGAAATGCAGCCCTAAGAGTACTCCCTGAGCATTGCTAGGTGTAACCCCCAATCCAAATCATCATCATCATCATCATCATCATCATCATCATCAATGATTTTCAGAGATAATGTAAATCAAAATGGCTATGAGATACTGTCTCATGAAGTGGAAGCAGCCAACATCACCCTCAGGCTAGAGAGATAGTACAGTGCTAGGGCACTTACCTTGCATGCAGCCAACTTGGGTTTGATCCATGCCAAATGATATGGTCTCCTGAACACCACAGGTGATCCCTGAGCACAGAGTCAGGAGTAAGCCCCAAGCACTTCTGGGTATGGTTACAAACAAACACACTTAAAAAAATAAACCCTATATCACTGTTGATAAAATCATCTAGCTCAGCTTCTGTAGAAAATGCAGGGAAATGACTCAAAAATTTTTTTTTATTTTTTTTTATTTATTTTTATTTATTTTATTTTTTTTATGACTCAAAAAATTTTAAAATAAAACTCCCATAGGACCCACAAATCTCACTCCTTGTCATCCATCCCAAGAACACAAAAACATTGACTCACTAAGATATAACAGAGGCGTTTTTCAGAGTAGCTAAGATCTTGAAACAACACAGATTCCCAATTACAGGTGAGTGAGTAAAGAAAATGTGATATTAGATCAAATAGAATACCTGCTACAATTTGAATGAAACTAGGAGTGTCATGTTAAAGGAAATGAGTCAGAGTGGAAAGAATACAAGTTGGATAATCTCATTTAAATGTGGTATATAAAGAAATAAAGAAAGTGCAAGGGCAATGATGAATGAAAGCAAACCCCTTAGACTGAAAATAAGATGTTTCAGGGTGGGGTAGAGAATAGGAATCAAGCAGGAATGTGGCTGATTAGAAGGGACATAAAGACAGTGCTGGAGGAGTTTTGGCACTTTGTGGTGGTGAAGGTGCAGTAAGCTTTCCACTAAAGCATAAATAAGAGTTTTGTATGCCATGATTTACAATTTGCTCGAGCGGGCCCAGTAACATCTCCATTGGAGACTTCGTTGTTACTGTGTCTGGCATATCGAATACGTCACGGGGAGCTTGCCAGGCTCTGCCGTGCGGGCGAGATACTCTCGGTAGCTTGCCAGGCTCTCCGAGAGGGGCGGAGGAATTGAACTCGGGTCGGCCATGTTGGCTGCGTGCAGGGCAAACACCCTACCACTGTGCTATCACTCCAGCCCTTGATTTACAATAATAAAAACATTTAGAAAAAACTAGAGAAGGGAGGGTCTGGAGAGATAGTGCAGCAGGTAAGGCATTCCTAGCATGCCTGACTATGGTCCCTGAGCACCTAGGAGTGATCCCTGAACACAATTTGGAGTAAGCCCTGAGCACAACTTAGTGTGGCTCCAAAATCAAGTAACAACAACAACAACAAAAACCTAAAAAGGCTAAGAGAAAACAAAATGAGGAAAGAAGAAGTAAAATAGAATAATTAGTGTAGACTTAAACTTCTATAACCAGAGAAATGTTTAAAGTGCTGTCAGACTTGTGGAAAGGGATATGGTTTAAAGAGCTGTAGTGCTGTAGTGTTAGCTTTGTGCGAGAAGCCTGAGGTTTACGACAGCATCTCCAGGAATGACCACAAAAATAGGCCAGAATGTAGCACTTTGCACTGCTAAGTATGCACCCTCCCCTCCACAATTAAAAGCACAAGAAAAAGTTTTATACTTGAAATGCATAAGGAAATGCATTAAGTTTCATAAGTTTGAAACTTAAGAATATCCTCGAACCCACACACCAGCAGGTATAAAAACTCAGGATGACACATTCTTATGACACCAGAAATACATTCCCATATTTAAAGTTGACTGCTATTCAACAGGGGTTATAAAAACACACAGTCGCACAACGAAGAAAACGTCTCTGATAAATTAAGCTTTTACTTAATATATACATGAGGAAAATGAAATTTGATTAATTGGATTCACACTGAAACCTACATTAAAAAAACTCAAAATAAATCTATGACTTTTTAAAGGTAAAAAGTTGCAAAGCAAATAAACAAAAAAGTTAAAAAGTTACTAGATAGATACACAGGAGGAAACTTGGCATTTAGCAGG